TCTACTCTTAATTTCTACATGGCATTTTTGAAAAGATATCCCTGTGGGTTAACATGTCTTTCCTTCTTTTGGTTTAACTGGTCAAAGATTAAGCACTAACCTTGATTTTTCAATTGATTTGCTAGATGAACAAAAGCTCTTTGTTTCAGGATGTTGAGAACAGCATACATTTCCCACAGAACAGGTGAAAGTCCATCTCCCATTGGCTTATAACAGGATTAAAGAAACTAAACTCCATGTATACTTACGAGAGGTGGGTGGTCTCTGAGAACAGTAGAAGCTACCACTCCTTTTATGACACTGACCAAAAATCTGAATTTGAGACAAGCCAGATGCTGAGTAAGTTGTTGTTAGTGTTTTATGAAAGCCTCAGTTCTGTTCCTGGAAAAACTGGTCTCTGTCACAGGATCTGCCACTTTATCCTTATCGACAGCTTCAGAGGGGCCAGAGGCGGACAAATTCATTTACATCCCAGGGCAGTTTGCTTTGCTTTATCTGACCTGCGTATGGATTGTAGGCTAGTGTATGGGAAAGGTCTGTCCATTTGACATCTATAGGAACCTCATCTGGAAGGGAGGGTCTGTCATGTAGTATGTATCATCAGCACCATCTATTATACACCTTCCTGTGTAGGGATGTCTTAGATGCTTTACCCACCTTCTCCTCCACTAAGAGAGAAGGTCTTTGGGGCTTTCAGATTAACCTTTCACTATCTGTGTATTGTACGTTTCGTAAAAGCACTCTGCAGTGAAGCCTTGCTTAGGGAACTCCTGATGTTTAGCTTGTGAAATAAGACATTTGATTGAACTGTATGTTCTGCCAGAGGGGCATAGCTCTGCTCAGAGCAGATCATCGTGTGCAGAAGCGGGAGGCCATGGAGTATTGGGCTGGCCTTTAAGGCAGATACCAAAGCACAGAAGCAAGCAGGTAACACGTTGCTCTGTTGGTTTGAGCTGTACATAGCGCTTCTGGAGGATTAAAAGTTAGCAGTGTGTTTGGTGTTCAAAGAGGAGGCATCAGCCACCCACATGGTGGTTCTTCTCTTGGATCCCACACTTAAGTCTCTGCAATTTACCTGGCTACTCATTTACTGAAGGGCAGCTTTTAATATTGAGGGGGATATCTCTTCTTTGATACTGTTGAAAAGTTCTGAGTGCGTGTGTAGGGAGAATAAATGCTTTTTCCTTGCCTTTTTCGGGCTTGCAAGAGCAATCAGAAGCAGACGTGACAGGTATTCAGCAGAGTGTATTTGAGCTAACTTAATTAACTTACTGGATTTGTACACATTGGTGTAACTGAACTGTGGCGCTCTGTGCTGTTACACTGAGGCATGTTTCCAAAAATGGTAGGAGTTTAGTGATCAGAAGCTGAAACCATGAAGCGAGTATTGACTTCAGAATTTTTAACTGGGAGCACAAAACATTTTTCTTCTCAATTATGGCACGCTTCATAAACTCAAACCTTTTTCTCTGCAGAAGGATGGTTGGCCGGTACTGTTCAGCCTTCTGACCCTTCCAGAACAGAGGCATGAGCCAGTCATGCTTTATCTAATGCATCAATTTATCACAAGCCAAGTGCAAGAATTGTTTTGGATATCAAAGCAAATTGCTCACTAGATTTTATGTGACCCAGTAAAACAGAACTAAGGAAAAAAAAAAAAAAAAACCTCCAAGAAGATTAATATTAATAATACTCTAGAAAATTAGATTCTGTTGGTGACACCATTTCTTATGAAGTTTAAAACAGAGCTGCTATTTTAGTTGAAGATTTAAAGCTCGCACATTTTTTATTTCCTCTTAAATACAGTGTATTTTCTTTTCCTTAATAGAATCAATTTAATGTAATGTTATTCTTCATATCTACTTAAGCTCAGGAAGCATGAGGTTTTGTATTTCAGTAATGAAGAAAAATGTTTCAGGAGATGTGTGAGGAATAGTAGAGCAGGGGGAAAATTGATAAGAATTTAGTAATCTCTCACTTTCTGAAGGGGTTGGCATTGTAGTCAGGCTTGCTATAGAGGCCTCTCTTCTAAAAGCTGTACGCCTTGGTTTTCATGAAACCACTTGTCATTGCTGTGGCTGAATGGTCGTATTTGTGGGGTTGTGTTCAGATGAGTTTTGGTGGATTTTTTTTGTTGTTGTTGTTGTGTTACAACATCAATAATTAACTGCTGGAAAAGCCAGTGAGGTTGTAGATTCTGTTCAGTACTGAATTGGAAGGAGGGAGAGTTTAGTTTTTCAATAAACAGTTCTTCAGTTTTGTTTTAATAAGGTTGAAGCACTTTCTTTGACTGAGCAACATGCTTTCATTCCAGAATGAAGGGCTTCAGAAATTTTTTCATCAAGAGTTGCTTCAGTCAACATTCCTGACAAACATCATGATTTCAGTAATTCAGCATTTTCCAGTGGAAAACTATTCCATCAGAAATTTAAACCAGATCTAGTAGCTAGGAACACAGACACTGCCAGATTTTTTAGCTTTTTTTCTAGTAGCTTCACAAGCATTTAAATAAATTTACTGTTGCTTCTATATTAGTCCTTATTTTCTTTTGAGTTATGAACTGACTTAATAAAAGATTTAATTATTTAGGTGTTGATGCCAGAGCATTCAAGGAAATAATGGACAAATACAGGCATAAGGTTTTGTAACTCCCACCACAGACAAGATGAGGAAAAGAATTTGGCATTTACCAGTGTTGGCAACTGGATTTTAATACTGTTTCAAAATGATTGAGGTTGTGGAGGTTATTTGACCATGTATGCATGTTTTTGAGCAGGTTTAGCTTTAAGCTATATTCTAAATATGTTTGGGACTAAAGTGAATTAAAGCAAGAAAAAGCGAGTCAGGACTAAAGGACCGGATATCTGTATGTGTTGGTCTTACCTATATATTTTCTACGTAATTTTACTGGTCAGTGTTTGGGGATTTCTTTTTAAAGAAATAGGTATTTATCATTTACTGTAATGTGGATTCATTTGTGTAGGAAAAAAATGCAAGCAGAGGGTGTGCAGTGGCAGCTTAAATAGTGGAGATTCAGGAAACTAGTTCATTTCTAAAACCCAAGTATCAAGAGGAAATGTGCTTTCGTACATCTTTGAAAAGCAAGCCCTTTAATTGCATCAAAGGTAGAGCAGCTACCTCTTTAGGCTTTAGTTTAATGGTCCATATAATGGGAAACATTAAATTTTCTTTAACATTTATCCCTCTAGTGTTTCCAAACGCAGGTCCCAGTTCTGCCAACACTTCATGGATGTTTAACAGATGAAGAGTCCCATATGTCTGTCAGAGGAAAGAACATTGATTTGAAGGAGTCCTGGGCTAGAACAGAATTTTTTCCAGATTAAGTTGAAAGTACTTCTGCATACACCTGTGTATGGAGATCAAGGTGGATTTAGGACTGTTAATGTTTTCCTGGGGAAAAAAAAAATGTGAAATACAGCAACCCCACCACTCCTACCACAGTGTCTCCTCTGTTTCAGCATCATAACATACTTACTTGATTTTAATAGTTACTGCAATATAATACCAGCATAGGGGATTTGTCAGTTGAGAAGAAGGGAAGAGATGGAAAGGCAAACTTTTTAATGGGATATTTTCTGCCTTAGTGTGGGTTGTGAATGCTGATGCCACCTGACAGAAGGACTGATTTCTGTGGAGGGGGATTTTATGTGGTGGACATAATCACTGCATCACTAACAGATGAGTGACACTGCTAGAATACAGCCTGGAATGTTTTAGACAGGAGGAAACAGCAGAAAGAGATTTCTTGGATTCAGAAAGTACTAAAAATACAAGTAATGTTTGTTTGATCATCTTGCCTCTGATGCAACTGCTAGATGTTTTCCTTTCATTCCATGACAAGTCATAAGAAAATGAAGACGACCACTGTTATATTCATTCTTACAGGTTTTTTTCAATGTTGAAATCCTTTTCCAGGAGATGATAAATGTGGCAGTTTGCACAGCATTAGGCTGAGAACCTCAAATTACCCCAGTGCCCCCCTTCCCACCCTTCCACTTTGAAGGATTCTGCAGCATTTGGCAGAGTTATCAAAAACCAATGGAAGCTCTTAAAAATGTCAGTACCTAGTCAACTAGTAAGGCTGAAAGTGGCATAAACAGACTATTTCCCTGCAGTGTTTTTGTAGCTTATTCTGAAGCACAGAATACTGTTGACTGCTGCCCTGTAGTATCACATTCAGTTCTCTCCTTCTGTCTTTCAGAGCTCAGTATATTGCCTGCACTCTGCTGTTTATTCCTGCCCATTATCACCAGGCCTTTTGCCTTAGTGTCCTGTTACCTCATGCCTACCAGTTCTGTGCAATCCATCATTTTACCTTCCATACTTTAACAAGCTTTGCAAATAAGCAGCTAAATTAATCTTTCTAGTAATTGCTTTTACTACCTATTAATCAGTCCTCAATGCATCCCTCTCTGTATTTATTGCTTTGTATCTTCTTTTGTTTGTGTTGCTGGTAAGGACTTTGCTGTCTTGCTTTGTGTAAGTACATGGTGTGCTCAAAATATTTAATATTGTGTCTTGCATTAAAATGTGTAAGTTCAAACTGCCTAGTGATATCGATACTAAGATTCTTACTAAGACTAAGGGGATGAATTGAGGAGACCCCTGTATTTAGTCTGGTGTTAGTTTTCTTTGTGTATCTATATCATGCCTATTGTGCTGGAATGGAATTTTAAGGGGTGTTTGTTTGTCATAGTATATATCAGAATAATTATTGGAAACAGTTACATTTTCTCTGGAAACTTCTACAACTGTTTCCTGGCCCTAATTGAAGGATATTTTTGTATTCTTTGTATTGTGCACCATAGTACATGATAAGTGGAGGTAAGTCATAACTTAACTATCTGAAGTTTGTAGGAATTTTTTTCCCCTTCTTATATTGAAGAGTGTCACTCAGATTATGGCTTTTTTTCCTTCTGGTCTAATTTGAAGAAGTAAGTAAAGGAGAAGTTAACCTTTGTTTCTGTGTATCCTTGCAGACTTTGCCATCTAGAGATACCTCCTTTCCATATAAAACTCAGTTACCGTGTATGGTGCCAGCCTCCGCTTTCAGCAGTAGCGAGTACAGTGCAGAATCTAAAATACTCGATTATGTGCAAGAGCTGGACTCTTCCTTCCATCCGGTGTTATCATTCCCTTCAGGTAAGCAACTCAAATGCAATGCCTATAACGGAGGGTGGTTGTGCTTGTGAGAGCTGTAGAGTTTATGGACTAACTTTTCTTTTGAGCGCTTTTTAGAACTTAGTTCTCTTAAAGAAAACCTCACACTGGCAAAATATATGAGTTTAGACTAAATAAAAATCTTAACTTCATCCTGACATTTGAAAAATACAACTTCTAGATTTCCCATACCAGTAACATGATTACAACGAAGAAAAACTGGTGAGGGGAACATTTTTGCTTAAGGTGTTTTTTGTGTGTTTCATGGTGTATCTAATTGAGTCAGCGTTAGTTCTTTAGATGGTGCTTTTGCCAACACACTACCATATCTTGGTTGTGTTGTTTTCATGAGCAACCTTCAGTTCAGGCCCTTTGGACTAGGCCCAAAAAGCTTTATTTAGTTTTTCTAATTGTTTTTGTGATAGTCAGCCTTTTTGGTGATCTTTGAAGTTTATGGTTTCTGTCATCCGATTCTTTAATCTTTTTGAACAATAATGCGGATGTTGTTTTTTCTGACTCTTATTAGCTCTGAAACTAGTGCAGGTGCAACTTGACAGCACTTTGTGCTTCAAAATAGCATGCTAAGTGCTGCTGTTAGCAGACAGGATTGGATACCAGCAGATACTATTAGGTTTTGGTGGTATTATTTTAGGAAAAACCTATTGCCAGGTAGTTGCTGACCAGCACAGGAATTCTGCTGTTCTGGGGGGCTTCTTTGCCACAAAATAATCCTGAACACGAGGCTGGGACTTCCATGGAACTGCTTGAGTCTTTAATAAAACCCGCTGTCTTCCCAGAATGACAGTGTATACGCTCCAGCCTAGTATTAGGAAGTCAAAGATTAAAGTCGTGGGTTTGGAGAACTCATCACTGGCCAGTAGAGAAGACCCAAGTGTGGACATGGAATCTTGAGAAAGTCTCAGCTCTTGCAGGTTTACGAGGGTTTACATCCCATGTATGGGATAAAGAGGAGTTTATTTTGAGGAGCAGATAGGGGGAAGAAAACACTCACTCCAGGAGTGCAAAGCAAACATCCCAGTCAGCAGGACTCTTGCGGAGAGGAGAGAAAAACACTTCTTAAATCTTTCTTCTTTACACATGCTCTCCATCACTTACCCTGTGACTCTGACAGCCCCGCTGGGCGGGAGTCGGAGGATTAGACGGTAGATCCCAAATACCTGCAGAGAGCTGTCCCCACACACTTCCTGGGTGACTGCCAGCTTGTCTCGCTAATCGGATTGTTTCCTTGCTTCTGCTACTATGCAAGGTTCACTGTACCACAGGTTACATGTTTGCGGGTGGTTAAGTGTTTCTTTATAAGTCTGTTCAAGGATAGTCATATAAGGCCACACCCCTTGCATTTATTCCTACCTTACTTTTGAGGGAAACCCCATAGGAAGTTTAACAAGAATACTGAAATATTCTTTCCTTGAAAAAAGACTACTCTAATCATCATGGAAGGAAAAAAACTAAAAGGCTCTGGATTGCATCATGGCTACTGTTGGTCACTTTGCCAGGATGGAGGAAGAAAAATGTTATTTTAGCTTTATTCCAATACCAAGATCATCTTTCTTTTGAGGAATATTTATTCTCTTTTCAAGCAGTCTTAGCCTTACTAATAACAGTTGAGACAGGGAAGGAAGTGCTAGACCTACTATCTCCTGCTCAGATGCAGTCCTTGCTTTTGAGGGAGGTTAGATTCATGGTCTAGTCTGTGCTTTGTGTCTCTGCCTCCTCATGCATACCACTAGTCTATGTCATTTTCTTTCATACAAAAGAATTATCGTGAATAAATGCATGCTAGAAATTTTCCAACTTGGTCAGGTAGCCTGATTCAGTTTCATGTTTTCTTTGCAGCTGCTTTAGTTATCCCTTTCCAGAGGGAAAACTTTTCTTAAAATACTACTTGTGGTGTGCCCACATCTTTTGCCACTTTTTTCTGAATAAAAAAAGTTTTTCAGCAGTGTAGAAGAGAAGGTTCTTGGTTTAATATTATTGGTATTTGTTCCATTTTGAAACTCTGGGATTTTCAGTGTGTAAGGAGGGATTCAAATTCAAGATTAAGATCTTGTTCTCTCTTGTACCTATTTTTTACTTTCAGAGAAGAATCATAGTTTGCAAGCAACGTAGTAATAGTTCAGTGGGACTTGGCTCACTAGTGTACAAGCTTCCGGAAGTATAATTGTCCTTACGGTTTTAAGTCTTGCCTTCAGCAGAGTTTCCGTATTACCAAGGCTCTTGACCAGAAGTGTGTCAGTGGTTGCAGCATCCCTTGAGCATAAAAGCGCCTCTTTAAACCTGCACCCCGATAACTGCAAAATTGTAGTTTGCATCTAAGAACTTCGGGTTTCTGGTATTTCTCCACCTAGCCTACGGATAAACTGGAACAAACACCCCTGCCCTTTAGTTAAGATACAGGAGCACATAATAAAAAAATCTCTGAGACATCCAGGTGGTTCCCCAGGAAAAAAACAGGAGAAATGTTTTGTTTATTTCTTTACTTAAATGTTGTGACTAATAAACCTTTCAGACCTACTTTATGTTTTACTCAAATAGGAAACACAGCAAAAACCTTGCGGGGGAAACAACCTTTTACGGGTCATCTTTAGTCTTTGACAAATATCTAGTTAGATCCGTATCAAACTGAAATAAATTATTCTTTTTTGTTAGCAAAATACGTTGAAAGTTTCTGTCCAGGCAAGTCCTGATGGCACGAGGCTAAGGTTGTATGTAAATAAAAAGTTTAATGCCCACCCTTTGGCCCTGCCCTCAGGCCTCTTCTCATTCTGAACGTAATAGCTGTCAAGCCTGCTTCTGATGTTGACATATTTCTTTCTACTTAATTTATCTTCTTTCTGGTAATGTTGTTTCCGGAAAGGCTTTTCAGACAGAGACCTATTTTTCTAAAGCCTTCCTGCCTTAACAACAGTCGGTAAATTCCTTACCACTTGAGATGTTTTGCAGACTAATTCTTGGTGAGAACTCCCTCGGGAAATGAATTACATTGCCCTGCTGTAGCCTTTGCCAGAGAGAGAAAGGCGGCATGTACCTTGAAATTACCTCTAGGCTCCCAGCAGTAACAATTTCCAAAAGCATTAATTACCTGTACCCAAAAGGCTGAACTGAAGGCTTTTCAGATTACAGGATAAGTGCACTGTGTGCTCCCACTGTGCAGGGGTTTGTGCAGGAGTTAGTAAAGAGGGGAAGACCCCAGTCTTACTCTCACTTGATACCTTCCTTGTTTTTGTGAAGAACAATTCTGGGGTAATTGCAGGTATGGACATAGTTTATTCCAGAGTAAGACAACCTTGCTCTTTCTTACTTTGACTTTGAACACCGAAAAAAAGTGGTGTTAATCCACTAAGTGTGTGTGCCTGCACTGGGATTTGTTCAGGAGCATTCCTTAGGTTTGAGTCCTACCTTGATCTGAATTGTCTTGTCAGCCCTTGGAAGCTCTTGGTGCTGGAGAGCTTGGAACCACTTAAGCATACCGCCTTGGTCGGCACATACGGCAGCGTAGCTTCACAGCTAAAAATGGGTTTGTTTTTACCGTAGCATAACTCTCACTTCCCGTTAATAGAAAGATAGGTACCTTGAGATCTTACCTCCAGGCAATTACTGGAGATTATCTTGTATACTAATTAGATAACTGATAGAAAAGACTACAGGTCTTTGCCTGTAGTGGAGGATAGCACTCATTTACAATAACTATCTTGCTGAGAATTACCTTGCCTCAAATTTTCTTATTTACTCACACAAAAATCACTTCTTTGAAATGTCTGGCTGGACTTTTTTGGGATATTGTCATTGAGTTTTCCTTTGGCTCTCACTAGTTTCGGGGCGTGTTTTCCTACGTTGTCTTCAGCTACATAGACAAGCAACTGATCATCACAGGAGTCACTCAGCACTGCCGTTCTTCATGAGTTAAAGACCCAAGGCAGCAATATTGTTCATAGATTATATTACACAGTGTTGTATTATCGATTGCTAGACCTTTAGTAATGATCCATAATTCATTGGCTCATAGGTTGCTATCTTTCTGATACAGACTGTATTCCCTTTGGATTTCTTTTTTTTATTAGATATTCCTCTTAACATATACTTTGAAACCTTATTAAGGAAGGATGACATCAAAGCAGAACCTGTTGATGCCTCATCTTTGGGAGCAGAGTTTAAAGTATCTCCAGACAATGGTATGTAAAGCAAAATATTTTAGTATTTGCAAGACCATTTTTCATTCATTTGCCAGAACTTCCTGCCCTGAAGAGGTTCAATTTATAAACTTACCATAAAGCAGGTTATCAGAGAAGGTAACTAGCTAAGGCTTTAGGTGGAAGAGGAATCTCTTCCCAGACCACAGCGTCAGGTTCTCTGTTGCACTGAAATGATCCTGTCAGAGCCATAGGAGGGCAGTAATACAAGTCAGGGGAGTTTGGACCATGGGTTCTCTGCAGACACAGGTGCCTGACTGCAGTACTGTTTACTATTTGGCTTCCTGACAGAAGTCTGTTTTCTTCCATTGTAAATAGTTCAGCAGTTGAGATTGCCTGTAAATTGCACCAATGGAAAATAAGTTTTCAACTTGATACATTCTTTTTCTGTTGTAGACTATAATCAACATAATGTTTCTGTCAAACAATGGAGCAGTGGCTGTTTAGCTAATTCCAAATCTCAGTCAGTGTCAGGAACATCTGACCAGCTGTCGGAAGGAAGGAAGAAAAGACATCTAAGTGAGACAGCAGTAGGTAAGAGGAAAATGGTATTATTTAAGATGGCACTACTTCTTTAAAAATATGTACTGTATAAATTACTGGGCTTTGAGAATTAATTTTAAGTTGTCTCCAAAAATGATACTGTATGAAGCTTTACAGGAGTGAAGAAATGGACTTATGACACCATGAAAATAATGTGCTATTTTAAAGCATAGTAATCTTTCTCTTTCTTCTTGAGTGAGACAAGCTTCTGTATTTTATTTTTGGAATACTCTTAAAGGAGACTGCTCAGCAGTCCAGCTGTGTTTTTCTAATACTGGGTGTCATTATTTTTAATATGAAGGGGTTTTTTTATAGTAGTCAGTGAAACAGACTGAATTGCAAAGTTATTTGTCAAATCATGTGCCCAACCAAACATTTACTATTCCCGGCATCTTTGGTCAGCTATGTTTCATTTGTTGTATACTGTCATTTGTGGTTCTGGTTTCCTTCCAGACTGTTAAGAGGACTTGTGGGTAGCCAGTGCTTATAATTAGTGTTTTCATCCTTTTATCTTTATAATATTTTAAGCCTACCTCAGCACTTGATAAGTTAATAGAAAGTGCCCTGAAAGTTCTGTAGAATAATATGATAATTTAGGGACAAAAAATTCACTGTACCATTGTAAGGATAAATAGCATCTTACTTCTCCAGATACTAGAATATAAAACCTAACAGATTCTGTTACAGATTCATTTGTGTGAACTTTTGGAAAACCTTTGGCAAAATTCCTCACAAGACAGTTGAAGAAAATCACTGAGTAGGAGGACAAACTATGTTAGTTTAAAATTTCCCCTAAGAAAGAATTAAAAGATATAAATGATCAGTTAACATTGTGGAAAAATACACTTCTGTTGCATATCCAGGTAAAACTGCTGGTGTAATCTTGCAGTAGAGATGGAGATGATTTAACAAAAAGTTATAATTTAAAAACAAAAAAACCCCACAACCAAACCACAATCCCAAACCAAAAAACCCTATTGCTTAGAAAGTTACAGGAGAGAGTAAAAGGTGTTTTTGGACAGACTGAAAACTGTCTCTGATTTAGATGAAGTTGTTCTCTGTACCGTTCCCCTTGTGCATTACAGTCCTCCCCTTTGCTGTACAGTGTTCTCTTATGCTCCATGCCTGTCTCTGCAGCGGCGGGGGGGTGCTATGCACTGTTCCCTCTCACCATCAGTGATCCTTTTCTCCATGCCACCTGCTCCCCTAACCAGTCCCTGGTCCCTAGAGGGCAGTTACTGACACAGTGCTTCTTGCATCCACGTTGTTTCCCTAAGTGTCCAGTCAGGCACACTGAGATCAACAATTGGAGTTACTTGGGAGCACTAGTAAGAGAGAAAACTTCTCGCTATAAACCTTTTGAAGTTACAATTAGGCTTCTGCCAATAGTATTTAGTTCTCTGAGTTAATGGAAGGAAAAAAAGCAATCTTTTATCATGAGGACCATAGTTTCCCAATGCCAGAAAACTGCTATGTGGTATATTTGTGAGCAGCAGCAGAAGTTCTAGCTTATTAGTGCTACGGGTGTAGTACTACATATTTATTCCTAATTTGGGCTCTGTCTAGGAGAAATTATCCATGGGGAAGGTCAGCCTGATGAACAAGGCCAAAAATAAAAGCTGTGTGCCAGGGAGTTGCAGAGCTGCCTGGGAGATGAGAGTTCATGTCCTTGACCCAGCCTGCGCAACAGTCTTTAGGATCAGTCTTACCTCTTTTTCCATGTTGGAATACACTGATTCTTTTTATTAGTTGGTATATTAAATCTGAGTTCTCTTTCCTTACTGGAAATTAAGGTAGAAGGAAAGCAGAACACAGTTGGTTAAATTCTGAATCCCCCTAAATGCTGCTTACACTGGGACTGGATAAGAGTAAACAAGAATTCTGATTTGTCTGGAGCAGTGGACCACATGGAGATCTAGAAACTAATTTTATTTGTTACCCTTGCTGGCAGTTTTGTTTTATCAAGGGAAGAAACCATCAGTGAGGGCTTAGTGAACAGGTAGGTTAGTGAGAAGCAGCCCACTTAGGGAAGCACTGTTAAGGAACGCTGAGGAGCGTTCCTCCAAGTCTGATTGCATTTGCTGTTTGTGTAGTCTATGGCAGCTTCTGAAAAAAGGAGCGGGATTTGCCCATATGAAGCTGGTTCCACGAGAAGAAATCCTTCGTAGGAGGAGAGGGATGAGTTTTGTGGAACAACAATGACAGGATGAGTAACAAGTGTTTATTTAGATGGTTTTTTTTAGTATTCGTTATATCGTGAGTGGTTAGCTGTGGGCTTCTAGAAATGGCTTTACTATTACTGTATGGAAAAATATCTTTAGTCTAATAGACAACAGCTGGTATGCATTTTTTATTATTATTTTTTGTAACAGGCGAACGTAACACTAGGTTTGAGACATACTCCTTTCAACATGCAGAACCAGAATCCCATAGCAGTTTTGCTGCTGTGACCAATGTCAATGCGATGTCTAGGCCCACTCACAGCACTTCATCACAGGTAAACCAAAAATGTATCGCTGTCTTAACTGAAATATCAACAGAGAATTGTGCAAATTAATAATCCAAAAACACATGCCTTTTACATCTCATTTAGTGTTAAATTACAGTACAGAGCATTTTTACAGTGAATTAAGTGGATTACATTAAGTAATTTATTCCAGATTGAGTATGTGGTGTTCCTAAAACAGATACTTACTTTTAAAAGAATTTTGCAGATCGTGTAACTGGAGTGTAAGTTTAGTTTATTGGCATTGGGCCTTTCATTTTTTTTCTTTTTTTCCCAAATTTCATTAAATATACTGTGACTTATGTTCCCAATTTTACACAAGGGCTCTTATGACCCTTTTTTCTTGGTGCAGCTACGTAAAATGGTCTCACAGTGCAAATATAGTCACAGAATTTGTTAACTCTCAGCTTCACTATTTAAAACCTTTTGTGCAGAACTACAGGCAAAGTCTCTGGTACATAAATCTGCTGAGGAGCAGCACAGCTCTGGTTCAGTGAAGTCCCTGCAGAAACATACTTTGTTTTATTGGAATTCATTGAGAATTTCATAATAATATTCAGATTTCAGTCCCAAAGTTCTGCTAAGCCTAGTGGTATACTGGTGCTCTGTAAGTCATCATGTTTCAATCTGGTGATGATTCCTGGAGAGCAGAGTTTAAATCTGCGTCCCCAATGCAGTGTTGACAGTGCATGCTCCTCTTTTTTTCCCTTGCTTGAGCAGACCATTGTAAGACACCTAAGTGAGCATTTTAGAATAGTCTTCTTCCATTAATGTTCAGCTTGAAATTGAGATCGTGAAATATGGAATGTATTATGATTTAAAACTAAACTTTCTCCTGTAATCTAGGAACTTCAGTTTTTGACCCAGGTAGGTTCCATGCAGAGGACACCATCAGGAATCCTACTGTGATCACAGCAAAGAAATTCAGTTTCTGTCTTTTGCACTTCTTTCAGAAAACCACTTTCCATATAGGCTGTTCTTCACTGCTAAATGTAGCTTCATTCTTTGGAATTCTTAATTGTATCACACTGAAGAACCACTTGGGTTACGGGTTAGTAGATTATAGAAGTTCGTCTTTTGTCGACTGAACATTATGAAGAAGGCAACATTACCTTCAGAGTTCCCATAAGTATTCAGAATTAACTGTTACTGAAGTCAAGGAAGGGAAACTCCCACTGATTTCAGTAAGAGTTAGGCCAGCAAGAAGTAAATCTCAGAGATGAGATAGTTTTAAGATTTGTTGAGATTCCATCGAAGGGGGGTTGAAGTCGGAAGTCATTAAGCCACTAGAAAATGTGTTCAAGTTACAGGCTCTCTCCTCGTGCAGTTCTTATGTTTCTCAGCTAACATGTAGTTCCTGTGATTTGAGCTGATGAATCTCCTCTTGTATTGATTATATTATACAGCATAACTCCAGGAGGAGGTTGAGAAGTGAGAGCTCCTATGATATAGACAACATTGTTATTCCAATGTCGCTGGTGGCACCATCAAAGTTGGAGAAACTACAGTACAAAGAAATCCTTACCCCAAGGTTTGTTCATGACCTCCTTAGTTGCAAAGATACCAAAATGAACATGCGAATGTTAACTAAGAATATTAACATATAGTTAGATAATTTTATAATATTAAGATGATCTTTTCATGTGCTCAGGGGGTGGGGTTTTTTTTTTGTGCACTTGAATTTGTGTCGTGTCACTGGAGTGGTGGGAAGACTGGACAGCTGATACCAGAGGGGAAATAGTCTGATACACACAGGGAGATGACAGATGCACAGACTGGCTAAAAATAGAAGTGGGTTTATATTGTCTTAATTGTAGTGATATTCGTGGCCTTAAATGTGCCATTAGGCTGACGTGCTCTGAATGGTTATTTGGAGGTTGCTGTGGTTTTTGTGTGTTATGGTTCATAACACAATAGTTAACTATTTTCAGTGAATTAAACAGAAGTGGTTTTAGCATATATTTTTAAAATTTATCCATTTGATACAGTAGAATAAGCTTAATTTTTTCTGCACAGTCTAAACCTAAAATCCATGATTCTAGACTTCTTTTTTTTTAAGAAAAATAACATATTTGGATTGCTAAAACAGGGTAATTGATCTCCTGTGCTGTAATTCAGTGGCTTACTAGCAAATTGCCTGAAATAGCTAAATGCAGTTGTTCCGTATTTTAAATCTTTAATTTGTATTTGCTTTTATATTGTCTTTAAAGCTAAAAATATTATTAAGACTCTATTGAATAGCTTAAAGACTGTGTTGGGAAAAGGAAAGGTTAGGTATTGGGTTTGGAAAGGAAAATCTGAATTTCGGGCATCTGTAATCAGCACCTCAAATTTGAACTTATTTTATTTGAAAGAAATTTCGAGGCACAAACAGTGTTGAAGAAGGAGTAACTAACAATATAATGAAACAGCATTTAGGTAAATTAATTTGACTTTCCTTGTCTCATTTCTAGCTGGAGAGTTGTTGAATTTCAACCTTTAGAAAGATCTCATACAGATGAAGAAGAGGTAGGCTGTATTTTAATTAACTACCAGTTTTTAATTAGATATAATTGGGATAATCAGTATAGATTTCCAAAAGTCACTGACTTCATGCAAATCCTGGTAAGTTTCAAGTTTCAAAAATAAAGTATTAAGTATCAGACTGCGAAAACGTGTCTTATCCCACCCTACTCAACCCTATGGTGGATGACAGAAATGTAAGTATCTCCATTAATAACTATTGTTGAGTTGTTCATTTGGCTCTTCTGTCCCTTGCTGTTGGCACAGTCAGCGCTCCCAAAGGGTCCCTTTGGTCAGGCCTCCACTTCCCCTGCTCCTGGGCACTGTGGTGCTGGGTCTCCCAGTGTGACTTGTCTCTTCGGGGCTACCTGTGCTATACTGTCTGTCCTCTCTCATCCTCTTCTTTCATGGCCAGTTCCCATGGCCTGTTGCTCTTCAGGAGGTAATATGGCATTTTGCCTGTGGGCCCAGCAGGTTTCCTCAGTTTTTTTCTCAGTGTTCATTTTCCTGCAGCCCTCCTGTTGGGAGCAAACTTTTCTTCTGCTTTGTCAGGAACAACGTAACCTTCAGCATTTCCTGCTTGCCTGTTGAGCTGAGTTTGCACTTCATGTGCTACTGTTGCTTCCTCCAGCCGTAAGAATCTACCATTTTTTTCCAGGGAATGGCCGTGGACTTTGCAGCAGGGGGTTCCCTTCTCCCCTAATCAGAGGTTCAAGGCATTTCCTAACCCCAGTGTTGAACATACCAGCAGGTCTGGTCTCTAGGCTGGTTTTCTGTCCTTCCAATCTTTGTGGCTCCTTTTCCAGAAACCTGCCAGTTTTGCTCTCTGTTTGGCATCTCTAGTCTCTGGTGTAGGTCACTATCCACTGTTGTGATGTAGGAATTGTATTTGTACCTGCATCCACAATATCTGTTCTTGAGGTCCTTTTTCAGAGAATGTCTACAATCGGGGTTTAAGTGCTTTAGTAGTAGAAAAAGATTGCATTTGGGTAGCAGTACAGAAGGTTATGCTGAACACAGTAAACAAATCATTATGCCACTCGCTTGGGATAGAAAATACACTCTCCACAAAGGCGCTAGCTTTTTCAGGGTTTTTACCAGGTTTGTAGCTGTCTGCTCCATGGAAATGAACCTTTCCTTTTGGAGACGTCATGGTCTCAGCTCCCTGCCTGGTGTAGTTGCACTCATTTGGCACCATACTCTTGGGTCGGAAGGAAGAGAAAAAAATACCTTACTCTGTCCCTGCCTTTTCTTACGGACTTGAGAAATTCTTGTGAAATCTGGTGGTCAGATTTATGTCACCTCCACTCCTGCCTTTTGGTTTGGTACCGTTTCTGCTAGCAGGAAAGATGCCTGATCTTTTATAGTGTGAAGGTCAAATTACATAGACAGAACTCTCCTGCAAGGATATTTAATTAAACCATTTGGAGAATAACTAATAAGGCAGTAAGGGCACACAGTCCCTTGAGAACCTACTGTTCATTGCTCTCTCTCTTTTGTCCTGGTATCTGGGGGGGGGGGAAAAAAAGAATTTCAACAGTGATTTGCCTCCAGGGCTTCAAGGGACTTGCTTGGAGGGCTCAGGGGATTTCTTGTTTAGATTTCAGATCCCATACAGATGACTCGTCTTACGTACTTTTAATGTATTTTGCTGAATGGACTTCAAGGTATCTCTCTGTGAAGTTCATGGGCTAATCACTCCTTTAGTAGCCCTCCCAGTACATTTGTATTTGGCATGACTAGATGATCCTGTATGATTCATCCTTTGGCCAGGAAATAACTGGAGTTAACAATAAAGCAGCTTTGCCTCCTGCTGTGGTCCAGTGCTTCTGTATTGTCTGTCAGCTGCTGGGTAGAATGAGAGAGAGAGATGTCAGACAAGAGAAAAATGCTAAAGATCTTGTTTGTCTAAATCATCCTTTGCCAATTCTCCCCCTTTCTTTTAGGATCATGTTAATTGGTTTGGATGTTTTTCAGGGTACTGAGTAAAGGTGGTTGTCTGATCATAATTCTTCCACTTCCTTGCTTTAGGTTTTAGGCCGAGTAAGATTTGTTACTGAGTAAGCTTGAAAAAAGACATGAGAAAACAGCAGCATTACCGTTTCACATTTTCTGCACTCACACTCTGACACTCTTGATATTGTTCCTTATACTGAAATCAAGGCAAGCTTCAGTAGATCATTTGTGAAGGACAAGAGAGAGGGCAAAATGTACTTTCTGCTTTTATATAAAGTAAGCTTTTTCTTTGCTTTCCACTGCATAGCAGCCTGTGGTGGTACCGTATAATAGTTTTTTTCCTGCCTATCTTCTGCATGGCTAAATTTAAAATTTCTGGAGTTGGCTTTGTGTCAACCAGCAGTTAGGGATTTCTTCCACTTGTCTTTTTTTTTTTTTTTCCTTCTCTTCTTCATCTAAAGACCTTCAATGCAACAGCTGGTGTCCATGCAATAGACTTGGACCCAAAGTTTCCACAAATTACAAAAAAATGTGGGGTCCGAAATTTGTCATGTTCTACAGGAGCCACACTTCCAAGGATGGGGACTCAGCACTTTCTGAAAATTAGGCCTATTCACCGTGCCTTTATTTGAGTACAAAAAGCTTACCTTTTTTGGGTGCCTGATTTTTGTTTCTGGAAATTTTGCCTTACAAGGACAAACATTAACAGTTGGGCAATGCAAAAGTTAATCTGCTATCTAGGTCTGCTCTATTACTTGCTCTAAAAATACTTAGTTTTTGGAAATAGAGCATTTGATTTTCCTGGTTTGCATGTATGAATTTGCAGTCTGTTGCTGCTTTAAGGCATGGGAGGGTGTGGCACGGCTTTTCCTGTTTTATTTTGGGTTTAATTTGTTTTGTCCAGGTTAAAGTTGCTGGCAGGGCATGGTTGTAAAGTAATGTTCAAGTTTATTTTGTAGTTGTTTTAGTAATGACAAACACTTTGGAATAATTCTGTGTGTAATTAGTTTTGTATAAGTGTTTTCATGGCTTATGACTCAGTGTTTCCCGTGAAGCCAAAGACTGAAACGCAGACTTTGTTGTTTTGAGAACCTTTCAGAAATATTTCTGGTGCTATTCAACATTTAGTGCATGGTGTCTTGTAGCTTAACTAGATGCGATGGGGGGGATTCAAATCTTAGTTCGTTTTAAGTCTTTTTCTTTGAGTGAACAATTAGATGTGCCTTGCAAACAGGCCTTCCTAATAGTCTTTTCTCTCAACATCACTGCCAGATCTGTCCACTGAGGAATGACAGTTCTTTTGCCCTTTTTCAAACTAACCGGGGGGGGGAGGGGGCGGAAATACCAAATTTCTCCAGTTATAGCAACTTTAAATTAAGCTAAAGTTTGTGGTGGAATATAAAGTGTTACAGAGCTGGAGAGGGGCAGGGGCTGTACTGAACCAAGTAGAGACCTTTTACTCTGAGGTAATGTGATTTTATCCATAGAACAAAGAATAATTTTTAAATGAGAAAACGTATTACTTGTTAGTCTTCAGTGGAATAGGGTAAAACTCATTTTAAGTAAACAAGTAGTTAAATCTGCTGTCATCAGCTACGGAAAAGGAACAGTAAGGCTTATTTCTGTATTTTTCAAAACTCTTCACTTGGAGAGGAATGTGGACTTTGATTTTTGAAAGGAAGCTTGTTAAAAATGAAGTTTCTTCCCAGCATGAAAAGTTTTGGCAATTTGCTAAGAAAAGTATTTTCAAAGTCTTAAGTTTTTCTTTCAAAATTATCTTTTGTTTCCACTTCAAAGGAAATCTGAGCACACAGGAAAATTCTGAATTTTCCCTGAGGGAATAGCACTTTTGTAGTTCATAAAATTCTCACTTTCACGCTATACATCACTGACCTTGGAAAGACAGAATCTGAACTGAGATGCGGCCCCGTACTGATGCCATCCAAGTGACAGAGCTGGTGAATTCCAGAGAGAGGAGGAAACGTATTAAGTTGGCTTGCATGAAAGGAAACCAGCAGCTAACAAAGTGGTTTGTGTTTAACATAAATAAATAAAGGCAATGAGGAGTCTTCAAAAAGCAGTCATGAGATGGGCAAACAAAGCAGGCCTGTTTGTCTGAAGGTTCCTGTTGAGTGCTGGGTTGAGGAGGAACTGAGCAGCTAGTTTTAGCAAGCAGGGCATGTGGCCATTTCAGATTGCACTGAAGTCTTTGGGATCGTTTTCATTGGCCCAGTTAAATTTCATTGTGGAGCTGTAATTCATGACCAGCTGCCTAGGTTGGAAATGTGCTCTCTGGCAAACGGAGTGCCACTATCAGGTATGCTTACAGCAGCATGAATGCATTGTAATACTTTGCATTTGTACCCGTAATGGTCATGAACTACCTCAGAGCTGCAAGACTTGATACAAAGAATGGCTTCTACAGAAGCCTCAGGGCCGTTAGTAGTCTGGAGTGGAGTACTTCCAGCTGACAATGTAACCTATATTGTATGGCTCTATCTGGCACTGTAGTGAGGACTCTGCATTTAGGTCTGTATTTTATCAGACTCGGGTGGAAGATAAATGGTGTTATTTGTATAACACCACTGAGGATTCTGATTTACAGAAAAAATTCAATTTATTTTCCATGACCCCCTGATTATTGGTATAATTCTTGTCCAGGACTGATCTGGCAGTGCAGCTTCACAGCTTCTATGACCAGGAATTGTTCTTTCCTAGAATTTCTCTGGTTTTGAGTTGGGAGTGGCTGGCATAAAATCCATGGCTGCAGCACTCGTATCCTCTCACCAACTTTAGCTTTTTAGGTGAACTTTGAAGAGGCTGAATGGTTTGGAGCACTTTGAAATAACTCTGAGCTGTGCTGGAGGGGAGCTCGCCCCGCCATCTGGGGAATGAGGGGGAAGGGCAGCAAAGTGCTCCTCGCCCAGCCATGTCTAAGGAGCAAATTTCATGGTGTGCTGCCAACAGAAAAATGAAGATGGCTCTTTTGAGGTGAAGGTCGGATGCAGTAGGTACATCTGAGGAGTTTTGCCTAAAAAGCTGGCTCTTGTTTGACTATGAGCAGTTAAAGTACTCATATTAGGACCGTTTTAAGCTGTACTGGGGTCATGCAAATAATTTGCTAAGAAATAGTCTCTTCAAAGCAGAAACCATTTTCTGCTTGGTTTTGTAGCAGG